GCTACCGTTTTATTAATTCTGACGCAGAATTCAAATGCATTTCCAACGGTTATCTGTCAATGCCATAAACAAAGAATTTTTTTTGCAAATCGATCAGCACTCAGCCCTGACACAGTCATCGTCTTAAAAGCGGTCGTTTTGGACAAACCACAATTATCGTGCATCAGAATTGTCAAATGATTCAAGACATAAAAATATCTTTTCTTTGCACCTGATTGAATCACAAAGATCGAATAGATCAGCAACAAGCCAATATCGATATTTTTCTAGGTTTGTTCTGAAAGCTAGAGAAGTAACTGGGATCAGTTTTGATTCTATAATGATATCTGGAAATCTTAAATTCGATTTGTTATCGTATTTGAGCAACCTCATCCTCTGACTGACTTCAGCTGAGCGAAACGTCTAAAGGTATGCCATCATACATCAATAAGTTTAAAGAATAGACGACGTTGAATAACTGTCGCAATTTTTGCATCTTACTGTTCATAGAAGAGACTGCGTTGCGATTCGAAATGTTTCCCTTGAGGATGAACGTGAACTGACGTCCCACCTCTTCAGATTACGGAGCATTCTACGAGTGTTTCTTCAAGAGACTAACTTGAATGTTAAGGCATGGACGTTCTGTTATGGCAAGCTTGTTTGCAGATTTATTGCACGAATTATGGCAGCTGGCAATAGTCTTGTCTTTCAATAGCTCGTTTACGCAAGTATATTCATCAAAGTGCCAAATAAGTGGGGAATATTTTATGCTTCGCTGATTTGCCTTATACTTCTGAATAAATATTCTCGTAGCTTACGTCTTACGTCTATCCATAAAAAGGGTCGTTTAGTCTGTCGTGCAACGATGAAGCCTGTTTGATTAAGTATTTCTGCGTTTATTAGTTAATTCAAGCAAAATCACTACTGTCTGTCCCCTATTTATGTTGTGATCGTTACTTTGAGTCATGTGCATAAGCAAAATATCAACAGACGAGAAATAGCACCATAAATATAGCTACTATGATTGCAAAACATGTCTTTTCTACTGAAGGGGCCCAGAGGCCGGCTGCGCTATCAGACCGAATTACGGGTAAAATGCAGTAGTTAGTGAATAACGCTCGTTTGTCCTAGTTCATATATCATGCACTGAACGACTTGGCGCTGCCATCAGTCGCGGATGATGCAGTGATTGATGTCACAGGTTGAGGTAAAGGATAAGCAAGTGTGTGGCCCTAATCAAAATAGGCCCTCAGTATTTTATTATATGGGGAGGATAACAAAGTTACAATAAGCATGCGTTTTAGACACGTTTGTTTCCTGAGATTACATTCATTTGTATATCGAAATAATCCCACAGATATAAACTTGAAAGCAAATACTTCAGTACGTGTTGGGTAAATAGCTTCAACTTCAGAAGAACCATTCGAAAGATTCGATTGCGGCATCGTAGGAGAAATCATTCCTGTCCGAAAGTACACCTGCTTCTGCCTTATTTCTCCAGGTTGTATGCTAGCTTTCCGACCAACAACTACACAGCTTCGGTTCCCACGCGAGAAGCTTACCGGTTGGAGTTAATGACTGATGCTCAACCAGTTTGTCTAATCGGTTTATCGATGATCTAATCAATCATTGCCTAACCTGCCTTCATTATGAGTGTGATATGAACTCGAGTCGACGCTCGTTCAATAATCGCTATTTTATTTTTCGTTTTTTGACTTAATAGCAGGTCACATAATTTCAACCGCGGATTGTTACAACCGCATCGACGTCAGTACTCAGCTAGAAATCAGTTTGTAATTCCTGATGTACATCGTTTAGGCAAGCCACATGGATGATCCGTTTTACCTTGGCATCGTGGAAATCAAAATCGCGTCTGTTAGTCTAGTCTATTTTCGAATTTGTGCGCTTAAAGAGTGATCCCGGAGGGAGAGTTTGCACATGCTTAGTTCCAGCGCTCTTTGCTCCTGAATCCAATAATAGATGCTTTATTTAGCCAAAACGCAAACTACAAAAACTGTGCCCTCATCCCGCAGCGTTCTGGTGCCACTTGACTCGAGACTGGGCGATCGTTACAAATCGTATTCAACAAGAAGGCATGGGATCGATATGTCTTCGATAGCGTCGTTAGTACCTTAACTTTAATTCTTCGTTTCTCACTCGATCAACTTTTAGTTCCCCAATGTGCATCCCACCATCCACAGTTGTGCAGAGGCAAGTATGAACTCACGAATAGCTGTTCGGAGCAACAATCAGGGCGCAAGTGGACGCCTACAGCATCGTAGCTCTCCACGGCTCGCTTACCATACAACAACCACATGAGTGCAGTTACAAATTCTGAACTAAAGATTACGTTACTCCGTGCATACGTCCGTCTTAAAACATGTTCTAGAATTTTCCGTGAAGTAGTACGTGTTCGAATAGATGATCCCAACAGCCTTCTACTACGGATAACAAATTTCTCAGAGCAACTCTGAATGCAACCATTAGCCAAATTAAGCGCTGTACTACTGAGCGAAATTGATTTAATGAAACTCTACTTGAAGCCAGCTGGGACTTTGCCATTCAGTTTCAAAGTTCCGCGATCAGAACCATGATACATCGCCACCGAATAGTTAATCGATCCTCGTTCCACAGTGCTCATTAACTCCTCGACCTTGCTCCGAGAGGTAATAGCAATTATACCTTGATTACAAAATAATTGGTTTGCTGTTCGAACGTTAAACTGGCTATAGAATATTACGGCTTCAAATCTCGCCCAAAATTGTTTATTTTTCATCATTTTCTGAGGAAGATAAACGGCCAAAAATACCCATTGGTATAATCAGAAAAATAATGAATCACACTTGGTTGTAAGAAGCACCTGAGGAAAGCAGGGTCA